ATAAAAATTGCTTTTTAGTGGTGACTAACACGGCCTGGATTGCAGAAGTTAAAGTTGGACAAAAGGGTGAGCCAGAGTTTTCTATTTCTGTCGAGGTTCTGAGAAGCCTGTATTGTAATGTTTAATTAAGAATTTCCTGTAATGGGGGCCTCCCCGGTGGCGCAGCGGTAGAGCGCTGGGTTGCGAAGCTGCCCGCGGCCTCTGCGGCGCCGCTTCCATCTCCGGCTGCTCCCCGGCCATGGGAGGAGGGTCCCGCATGGTGCGCAGACCTCTCCTGCCGCCCGCTGCTCCCCTCAGCAGTGTCCTTCGGTCCTTCTGCCTGCTCTGCTCCCCGCTCTGGCTCTGGTGAATTCTCTCACCCTTCCGGGCTTCTGACTGTACCCAGTGCATGTATAAACAAACAAACAAACAAATAAATAAATAAACATGCCTCTTAAAAAAAAAAAATAAAATATAATAAAAAAAAAGAATTTCCTGTAATGTCTCTCCCCCCTCTCCCCCGCAATGATAATGATGTGACTTTAAAAAAAGAACCCAGATGACTATGGCCTGTGCCAAGGAGAAGTAAAAACTGAAGAAAAGTAGAAGCAGAATCCTTATTTTCAAAGCGATAGTCTTGTTGAAGTGACTGAAACATGTCCCTCACTCACATCTGATAAATAGATTTTCCAGGAAAGTGATGACATCTAGAAAGCATTGTTGTTCAAAAAGTACCACCTAAGTCACATAGTTATAGGAACAACAGTAGAATGCAGGCTAAATGGTAGATTAAATGCTACTAGCTGTCATCTTCATCTAGAGTTAATTGAATATGTTTACCAAATATTTCTTCATGAATATAAAAAGTCATGCAATATGAAAGAAGCATTACTGATTGCTTTTCAACCTGTTTTGGCCATAGGAAATCTATTCTTTTAATGTTATATAATTTGTTTGGGGTAGAAATTTCAATCAGAAAATCAAAACCAGGTACTCTGTTTTGTTTTGTGTTGTAGTAAAGCAACTTTGTGCCTTTAGATTAACATTCACAGGAAACGTTTAGATGTTCACAGAGATGGTTATTTTTATCTTTTATTTTATTTTTTATTTTTAAAAAATTATTTATTCATACAAGCACTGGGCACAGTCAGAAGCACAGGAGGGTGAGAGGATTCACCAGAGTCAGAGCAGGGAGCAGAACAGGCAGACTGACGAAATACACTGCTGAGGGGAGCAGCGGGCATGGCAGGAGAGGTCCGTGCACCATGTGGGACCCTCGCCAGCGGCCGGAGATCAAACCGGCGCTGCAGAGGCTGCGGGCAGCCTCACAGCCCAGCGCTCAACTGCTGCGCCACCAGGGGAGGCCCGGCAAGGCCCTATTTTTATCTACTTTTAGATGTCCATACTGTGGAGTACCTGATTAAAGCCAACCAGCCAAATCAGGACAGACTTTTGAGGCAAGTTGTTGTTGCCAACAGCAAAACATCAACCATGGAGGAACTTTGGGAAAACAAATTATTTGGACTCAAGTCATAGTTTGAACCTTAATAGCAGAAATGGAAACATTTCAGCATTGATGCCTGAGAATTTTGCTGTATGTAAGAACATGTTTATCCCTGCTGAGCCTCATGAGATGCGTGCTACAAAGAAACTTGAGGGCTTTAGTATGACTAGGCAAACTGTAAGGTATCCCGAGCACCATAGTCATCAGATGATCCCACCTTTTCAGCACCCTTTTCACTTATCTGAACAAGGGAAAGCCTTCGACAAAGACGCAATATTCTTTACACATCAAGGTGCTCTTATGGGACAGACTGCCTGGAAATACAGTGAATGTGAGCATACCTATGATATGGTACCTTTCATTGGTTAAGATAAAACTCAAATAGGGGAGACTCCCTGTACATGTAACAAAAGGAGGAAATGTATTGATGAGAAACCAGTACATTTGACTCATCAACATTTTGAAGATGAACAGCATACATGTAATGAAAGTGGGGGTGGGCCTCCCCGGTGGCGCAGCAGTTGAGTGCTGGGTTGCGAAGCTGCCCGCGGCCTCTGCAGTGCCGGTTCAATCCCCGGCTGCTCCCCGGCCACTGGAGGAGGGTCCCACATGGCGCGCAGACCTCTCCTGCCGCCCGCTGCTCCCCTCAGCGGTGTACTTTGGTCCTTCTGCCTGCTCTGCTCCCCACTCTGGGCTCTGGCTCTGGTGAATTCTCTCGCCCTCCCGCACTTCTGTCTGTACCCAGTCATGTATAAACAAAACAAACAAACAAGCAAACAAATAACTAAATAAATAAAACTTGCCTCTATTAAAAAAAAAAAAAAAAAAAAAAGAAAGTGGGGGTAAACTCAGCTTCAATTTCATGCCAGTCAGCTTGAGAGAACTCTGTTAGAACAGAATATTTTTTAATATAATACATGTGGTGAAATGTTGTCTGAAATGTCTTTTTACTGAGCATGAGAAAATACAAAGAGGTGATAAACCTTCTGAAACATCTGATATTTCCTTACACAAAAGGTATCAGGGAAGTGTCACTACAAGGTTCTTTGGCTATAAAGAAAGTGGGAAACCTTTCTCCTGGAAGACAGACCTCAGTGTACATCAAAACTCATAAGGGGGCCTCCCCGGTGGTGCAGCAGGTTGAGCACAGTGCTGTGAAGGTGTCTGCAGCCTCTGTAGTGCCGGTTCGCTTCTGGGCGGGCCAGGGAGATACCTACATGGTGCCTGTCGGGGCAGGATGGGCACTGAGCAGGTTTTCTGATCCAGCAGACGGGTAAAGGAGAGTCCTGGAGCCCTCGGTGGCTTTCTCAGGCTTTTATTGAGCTTTCTCATGTAGTGTGGCAAACAGGTACATGGCAGGCAGAGGTTCCCTGGGGGCCAGGAGGCCAGAAGGCCTCCAAGCTCCCAGCAAGTCTGGGCTTCTCTGACTTCCTTTCTACCCTTCTCTCTCCTGCCTCTTCTCCTGCTTTTCTGCTTCTGCTTCTCTTGGTGACTCTCTCAATACTCCTCCCATGGCCCACAGAGGTAAATAAGATAGTTTGCAATAATGTAACTCTATAGGTGCCCCCTCAAGCAGGGGCAATCCTAATTGTGGGAGGGCAGAAAAGCCTGAAAAACCATTTACCCTGCAGTGCAGGCAGACCTTTCCTGTCTCTCCTCCTACTCCCCTCAGCAATGTTTCCAGTCCATCTGCCTGCTCTGCTCCCTGCTCTTGTTCTCTCTGGTGAATCCTTTCACCCTTGCCCCCGGCTGGGATGTACCCCAGTTCTTGTAAAATAAATAAATCTTAAAAAAAATTCACACAGGCATGAAGCATTATAAATGTAAAGGATGTAAGAAATCATTCTGTCACAAGTCAGGCCTGAGTGTTCATCAGACAACTCATGCACCAGAAAAACCCTACGAAAGTCCAAAGTGTAAGAAAACGTTCTACCGGAAATCACTCCTCTTTGTACATCAGGGAAGTCACACTGGAAAGAAACTCTATGATAGTCAAGAGTGTAGGAAAACTTTCTCCTGGAAATCAACCCTCATGGAACATGAGAAGTGCTATGAATGTCTAAAGTGTAAGAAAACATTGTACAGGAAATCACACCTCATTGTACATCAGAAACTCACACTGGAGCCAAACCCTATGAATGTCGAGAGTGTAGAAAATATTCAATATGATGGTTGAGATATAATTATTTTTGTGTACTTTTTATCAGTCACACTTGGGATATTATGAAGTGGGGATGAATGTAACACAGCTCTAATTCACTCCATTCTCTGGCTTTCTCCCCTTGTGTGTGTGAAGTCATGCGTTCGCTTTTTTGCTGCCTCAAACATCTGAGAGATTCTCCTAGTAGATGGATTTGTTCATGTCTATCTTGCAGGTAAATTTAGGACAGTAATGTGCCATGTATCAAGAACATCTGAATGGAGGTGCTGCTTCTAGTTGACCCAAAACATTGATTTAAATCACCAAGACGAGGGCCTCCCCGATGGCGCAGCTGTTGAGCGCTGGGTTGCGTAGCAGCCCGCGGCTTCTGCGGCGCCGGTTCCATCCCCGGCTGCTCCCCGGACACCGGAGGAGGGTCCCATATGGCGCGCAGACCTCTCCTGCCGCCCGCTGCTCCCCTCAGCAGTGTACTTTGGTCCTTCTGCCTGCTCTGCTCCCCGCTCTGGCTCTGGTGAATTCTCTCACCTTCCCGCGCTTCTGACTGTACCCAGTGCTTGTATAAATAAATAAATAAATAAATAAATCTTTAAAAAAAAAATAAATCACCACGACGAGTATGGCCTTCATCGTTGGCATAAAAGTCAGACATAGGAACATGCTGGAGTTCAAATCATTTCATCAATTTCTCCTTATGGAAATATGCTGACAGCTGATTAAAATCCTGGTGTATCTTCATGGTAGTAATAGGGATCAGGACTATTATTTAACATTTCCAAAAGAAATCTTCACAGGCATATGATGAAAGAACAGGTGACTTTCCAAAAACAGAGCATAGAATTGTGTGTGTGCACATTAGCTAAGTATTGAGCCTCTGTGTTGACCACCAACAATGGGATTCAGGAATCAGAAGAACAAGAATGCTTCTTAAATGCCTGCAACTTGATTTTGACCAAAGAGCATACACTGGTAGCTGAACTAAGTATGTTTTAATAAAGCTGATTTTTTAAAAAAAATTACTTATTTATGCATATAAGATCAGAGGTTGAAGCCGAGGTTGGGTTGGGGCGGTGGTGAGAAGATTCACCAGAGACAGAGTAGGGAGAAGAACAGACAGATCTGCTGAAATGCACTGTGAAGGGGAGCAGCGAACCAGACAGGAGAGATCTGCTGCACCATGTGGGTCCGCTCCTTGCCTGGGGATCGAACTCATGCTGTTGTGTCTAGCGACAGCTTGATACCACTTAGACTTTGACCCTTCTGCCACCAGGGAGGCCCATAAACCCGACTGATTTTTATGTGTATATCCTCAGGTATATTTGATAACTTTATTTGTAATTTTGTTTTTTTTTTGCATAGAAGAACAAGAATGTAGGCCAGTGGTGCCGTTGGTGAGAGGATTCATCAGCGACAGAGTTAGGAGCTGAACAGGCAGAGTAAATGAAATACACTGCGAAGAGGAGCAGCGGGCATGAAAGGAGAGGTCTGTTGTGCCATGTGGGTAAGCTCCCTGGCCTGGATCAAACTCAGGCCTTAGCAGTAATAAGGGTGAGACTTAATTTCTAGGCTACCAGGGAGACCCTGATTACATTATCCTTCATCAACATTAACCAATTCCTCCTTGTTCAAGGATTCGGTAAACTATAGGAACAATAAACTGGTTGTCAACACAGTGTCAGGCTCCATTCACACAGGCCTCAAATCTCAAATAGTTTTGATTGTATTTTGCAACAACTACACTTTTGTCTGTTTAGTAACAGTGGACGTTGTAATGTGTATATTGATAATTATGTAGAAGTATTGTCAAGAACTTTCGTCCAACACTCCATGGTACCCTCATAGAGGATCTTGCTACATTGCCTCAATCACACCCTGAAGAATCACAAGTACATATAATTTCATTACATGAGCTCATTTGCACATATTGGCAATGGTAGTCCCTCACAGGCCCTCCCCATGATTGGCCCTGGACCTCCACAGAGTGGGCAATAGTCTTACTGTTTTAGGTTTACCTCAAATAATATAATCTCAGTTCAGAAAAGTTGAAGCACTCCAGTTAGGTAGCCTAATACATTCACATGCCCCATTTCCTGCAACTCTCTCCTTCTGAACTCTGACGCATCCACATAGCTGCACAAGGTGTGAGTGGACATTTATCAGTATCTCTGTGTCATGAATTCCTCTATTTCCATTCCTTGTCTGGTCTTCTGTTGAACGGTGACTCTTAACAATTTCTACTTTAACTAGTCACATGTACAATGAGAAGCAATGCCACGGCAATTCTCAATCAGGACCTATAAAATCGTACCCTATTTAACAGTCCATTTTCATGGCCTATACAACGAACACTCTCATGGCTGTGATACATGTTGAACGCTACATGTAAATATATTAGGAGGCATTATTTAGGAATGACAGAATGTGTGGGAAGAGAGTGTGTGTCTCTGGGCCTGATGTCCGTCACAGGCAGGCAGTGCTGGTAGTGGGTCACGCAGCAGTTGCTTAGTTTTTGGTCAGGATGCGGTAACTCTTAAAATCTGTCTGGCAGGATGGAAAATGTCGTTAAAAGCCCATTTAGCGAGAAATGAGGAGACTGCGAGCCCCTCAAACTCAGACCTTTTAAGATACAGGTGGAAGGACCCTGGCTCAGCCTGGAGGCCTCCAGCAGCTCTAAGCCCTCACACTGTAAGATGTTAAAGGACTAAACATAGCAAGACAGCAGCCATTTTAAGGAAAACGACCGTTTTAAAGAGCACAGCTGTCCGTTGCAGGGTAAAACCACAAGAACCACGAGGCCAGGGTGAACGAAACTTAAAGGCTGCCAAAGAAAGGTACACAATCAGATTGAACTTGGTCCCCGTTGTGAAAGGTCCCCTTTTTCTGATATGAAAGGTCCCTTTTTTCTGCTGTAACAGAGTATAAAAAACAACTTGTCACCCTTAAAGGGGTCCTTCTCTCAACCTGATGAGACTGCTGTGTCAGTACACCAGGCAGAGTCGGGCCCTAGCATAAGCTAGCAATAAAGCCTTTTTGCTTTTGCATCTCTGGCTCCGTGCAGTTTTTGGGAACCCCGGACGGAGTTGAGGCGCCAACTCCTAACAACACGGTGCATGGAGAGAATGGGGTCTGAGGGTACAGAGTCCCATCTGGGAGCCTCCAAAGCTGGTCTCTCACTGGCGCCCAGAAAGGCAAAGCTACGACACAAGAAAGGCCGTTACATGGGTTTATTCAAGATGCTGTCCAGGGAGTGTGCCCTAAACACCCTCCTGGGGGTGCAGCTCCCCAAGCGCAGGGAGAGAGCAGAGTAAGAGGAACCCACTTCTCTGGCATCAAAACACTCTCCTCCTTTTCCTCGCCAAACAGACTCGGTTCCGGCGCGCCGGGCGGTCTGCGAGGCTGCGCTCACGTGGCCCCACCACCCAATATGTCCCTGAGCCCCACTGGGGGAGGACCCGCCCTGACGCTCCGGACGCGCGGCGCGCGGGATTGTGGGAAATGTAGTCTCCCGAGGACACGCGGTTCCCGCCCGGGGCTCCGCCCAGGGGCGTCCGGCCTCGCCGGCCTCGTCTGCGCAGGCGCGGCCCCGCGTCCTCCCCGTCTTTCCCGGGGCCCCGGGGCCTCCGCGGTCGCTGCCCCCCCCCCCCGCGGGTTGCGAGCGGCTTTGTCGCCGGGGCTGGGCTTGGGGTGAGGCTGAGGACCCGCGTGCGGGAGCGGGGGGCGGGCGCGGCGGGGAGGCGCCGGGGGAGGCCTGAGGCGGGTGAGGGGGGCCCGTGGCCCGGAACAGGCGCCGGGAGGGTCCGCCGGGCCGAGGCTCGGGGGCGAGGGGAGCGGGGTCCCCGCCCTGGACACGGGCGAGCCCCCCGACGGCCGCCCCTCCGCGTTTCCGGGAGTTCCGTGCGCTGTGACGCCCTGGGACGGCTGTCGTGGGATGCGGAACCCCCCGCCACGAGCGCCCGCCCCGGGGTGTGGCTTCCGCGGGTCCCCGGGCGTTTTCTCCGCGGGGACCCCGAGCTCACCCTGGGGCACGCGCGGCCGTTTCCCGCCTGGACGCGGATGGGGCTGCGTTCCGGGGTCTCGCGTCCCTCTCGGCGTGGCTGCGGGGGTCCCGGGCCCTGACCGGGCCGGCGGGTAAGAGTTTCCCGTCCTTTGTGCCCGTTTATCGTGGCCGCCGCCCCGCCGCGTGCCTGGCCGGTACCCCGGGTCTCCCCAGGAGGACGGTGTCCCGGAGGCCAGACCCCTGGGAAAGAGCTTTTCCTCCCGTGCTTGTGCGCCCTCGTTCCCTTGGGGGGACACCCCAGGCACATCCAGGGCATGGGCACCGGGGTGTACGAGGACATGAATCCGGGGAAGCCGGGCTCTGGAACATTCCTGGGAGTGTCCTGCCAAAGAAGTGGACAAGGTGCATCATTTCCTTTGAAATTCTGACCAATTTTTTTAAGGGATTTTTTAAAGAGATTTATTTATTCATGCGTAGAAGAACCTGGGTACAGGCCAGATGCACGGGAGGGTGAGAGGATTCACCAGAGACAGAGCTGGGAACAGAACAGGCAGACTGACTGAAATACACTGCTGAGGGGAGCAGCGGGAGGCTGGAGAGGTCTGCGCGCCATGTGGGACCCTCGCTGACGGCCGGGGATCGAACTGGCACTGCAGAGGCCGCGGGCAGCTTCGCAGCCCAGTGCTCAACCCCTGCACCACCAGGGAGGCCCAGGGAAAGCCCTTTTTAAGTGATTAATCATCTTTGAAACTTTTGTTTAGTTCTTCACATGAACTACTAGTCAGTCTTAGGAATCATCAGTTTTATTAACTTGCGGTAAATGGTAAACCCAAATAGTATTAATAATGGACTTATGGGTCCTTTCCTGCTCCTTCTCAGAGTGTAAGCACAGCTGTCACGCGCAGTGACTCTGGTCTCTCCCAGGCAGTGTGTGGAGCGCTCTGGACAGGAGACTCCAGGACCCGGGACCAGCTGCCTCAGTTCTCTCCTGCAGGATTCCATCACCTCTCCCAGCGCCGCCTCCAGAGTCCTCTGGCATCTTTGAGAGCAGTGGACAATGGATAAATCTCTGGTGAGTGATTTGTTTTCTTTAGCTTAGCTGGGCAGTTGGGAACAGTGCTGCTCTACTCTTAGGTCTAGATGAATCTTATAATGAGTTTTCACGTTGGGGTAAAAAGTGTTGCTGATCATATGGAATTTCTATTTTTATTTCTTTAAGAAATCTCGGGCCTCCCCGATGGCGCAGCGGTTGAGCGCTGGGTTGCGAAGCTGCCCGCGGCCTCTGCAGCGCCGGTTCGATCCCCGGCTGCTCCCCGGCCACCGGAGGAGGGTCCCACATGGCGCGCAGACCTCTCCTGCCGCCCGCTGCTCCCCTCAGCAGTGTACTTCGGTCCTTCTGCCTGCTCTGCTCCCCGCTCTGGCTCTGGTGGATTCTCTCACCCTCCCGCGCTTCTGACTGTACCCAATGCATGTATAAACAAAACAAAACAAACAAACAAACAAACAAATAAATAAAACATGCCTCTATAAAAAAAAAAAAAAAAAGAAATCTCTGCACCGTTATCCGCAGGGACTGTACTGCTCTAATGGCTCAAACTCATGCTGCAGTGACTGGGAATAGCCTCCTAGCATTGTGTCTTAACCCCTTGCGCCACAAGGGAGGCCCGGATACATTATAAATTTTGGAATGAACTCCTTGTCAGATGTGTGACATGCAAATATTTTTTATATTCTATAGGGTGCCTTTCTGTTTCTATGCTGGTTTCTTTTGAGTTCCAAAAGCTTTTAGGTTTGGTGTTGTCCCACATGTTGAATTTTGCTTTTCTTTCCCTTGGTGTTGGGGTTGTGTTCCCTAATGCATTTTGTAGCAGCTGTCCTATAGTGTACCCCTTATTTGCTTTCAGTACTTCATGCTTTGGGCTCTTATATCCAAACGTTTCAGCCATTTGGAATTAGTTTTCTATATGGAGTTTTGAATGGGTCTTGCTTCTTAGTTTTGCAAGTCACTATACATGTTTCCTGAAACCATTTTTTAGGAAGATATATTTATGCATGGAAGAACTGGGGTGTAGACCAGATGTTCCGGGTTTGTGAGGGTCCACCAGAAAGAAAGTAAGGAGCAGAACACATAGATCCACTGCAATGCACTGCTGAGGGAAGCAGTGAGGGAGACAGGTGAGGTTTGCTGTGCCACATGTGAGTCAGCTCTCTGGCCTGGAATGGCCATGCTGTATATATAGCACTGACTCTTAACTCCTTGACCGCCAGGGGTTCCCATCCCAGTATTATTTATTAAAGAGGCTGTCTTGTCTGAATTGTATGATTTTAGCTCCTTTGTCCAAGATGAACTCTTCGTATTTATAGTATTTGCTTTCTGGGTTTTTAATTGCCTTCCATTGCTCTGAGTTCTGGTTTTGTTCCAGTAAAATAATGTTTTCATTACCATTGGCATTTAATATATTTTGAAGTCAGGAAGTGTGATCGTTACATTTCACTTTTTCTCTCAAGATTTTTTTTTGCTATTTGGGACCTTCTGTGGGTTCACATAAATGCAGTGATTGTTCTCTTTCCTTACAAAAAACCTCCTTGGTATGTGGATAGGTATTAGCTCTGTAAATAGCTCTGGACAATAAACCATTTATGATGTTAATTCTTCCCACCTAGGGGCACAGGACATCTTTCTATTTCTTCTTATCTTTTGTTTCCTTTACTAGAGTTTTATAATTTTCAGTGTTCAGGTCCTTCACCTCCTTTAACTTTTTTTTTTAAGATTTATTTATTTATGTATACAAGAGCTGGGCTGCAGGCCAGAGGTATGGCAGAAGGGGTTGTGTGAGAGGATTCACCAGAGACAGAGTAGGGAGCAGAACAGGCGGACTGACTGAAATACACTGCTGAGGGGAGCAGCGGGCGAGACAGGAAAGGTCTGCTGCGCCATTTGGGTCACCTCCCTGGCCGGGGATCGAACTCATGCTGCAGTGGCTGCAGATAGCTTCATAGTGCTGCCTCTTAACCCCTTGTGCCACTAGAGAGGCCCCTCCTTCTTTAACTTGAATGAAATAATCACAGCTATTTCATTCTTTTTGGTGTGAATATCAATGGAAATGCCAGTCTTTTCACACACATTCTCTTCATAACTTGTTTATACTTTCAGAGAAATAAACAAATTTTATCATGTATTCAATTGTAAAAAGTGATAACATAGTTCAACATATATAATGGACACCAAGGGTTCAAATATGATTGTTTTCTTGTTGTTCTGCTTAGTATTTGATCATTATTTACAATTTCCTTCCAGTCTTTCAGGTCAGTCTACTATGAATTTTCCAATTGTCCTGCCTCCCTGCTGTACAAATGTGTGCCCTGGGTCAGATTTGACATCACTGAAATTATAGCGTCCATGGTGGTTCTGTGGGCATATGTGATCTTCTGGGCTCAGTGGGTGCATTAGACTGTTACTATGTAAAATGGGTCTCATAAGGGCATTCTTCTCTCTTAGAACCAGGTCTCCCTTTTTTTAAGATTTATTTTACTTATTTATATATAAACCAGAGGTCAGGGCATTGGTTGGGGGATGAGATGATTCACCAGAGACAGAGTGGGGAGCAGAACAGGCAGATCTATTGAAATACACTGCTGAGGGGAGCAGCAGGGAGACAGGAGAGGTCTGCTGCGCCATGTGAGTCAGATCCCTGGTCAGGGATCCAACTCATCCTTCGGTAGTTGTCGTAGCTTCATAGTGCTGAGACTGAACCCTTTGTGCCACCATGAGGATACTCTCAAAAAAACTCTCTTTTCACCTCATACCCTATTCAGAGCTCCGTTGTTGGCCACATGGTAACTGTATATCTTGATTTCAGGAACCTTTGACCTTCAGAGATGTGGCCGTAGAATTCTCACAGGAGGTGCAGGACTACCTGGACCCGGCACAGTGGGAATTTTACCGAGACGTGATGTTAGAGACTTACAGGAACCTGGCGTCCTTGGGTGAGGAGAATATCCCTCCAGATTTCCTCATCTGCCCTCACCGTTTCCTGTGCTGTGTGTGTGTGCTCCTGGGATGTCCAGATTTGTAGGCTACGTTTACATCCCTGATTTTCAGAAAAACAGTGTGAGTTTGTTGGAAAGAAAGTCTCATGCTGTTTGATCATGACTTAAACTTCTCCTCTCTTAGGTGATCTGCAGCCTGCTCTATTAGTGCTCATTCAAGAAAATCAGTTCCTTATTACAAGCTAAAATCAGTGTGTTATTGCACATTCCTATGACTCAGATGTCTGGAAATGGTTCTCAGGATTGAAAATTTATTTCTTTAAAGATTTATTTATTTATGCATACAAGAGCTGGGGTTCAGGCCAGAGGTGTGAGGGGTGAAATGACTCACCAGAGACAGAACCGGGAACAGAACAGGCAGATCAACCGAAGCACACTGCTGAGGGGAGCAGCGGTCGAGTCAGGAGACGTCCACCTCGCCATGTAGGCCACTCCCTGGCCGGCCAGGGATTGAACTCTCGCTACAGAGGCCACGGACAGCTTCACAGGATGCTCCTTAACCCCTGGCACCTCCAGGGAGGCCCCAGGATATGAAAATTTAAATGATTTCTGGTAAAGGTGGTGTCAGAAAAAGTATTTGCAGTGATCCTTTTCTAGAACCTTCTGTATTCTCCTCTCTACTGAGCACAATCCTGTATTGGTAATTTGAAAATCTGCAGGCCATCTCATATCACCTGTCCTAATAAACAGGTCTTGCTATGTCTAAGCCTGACCTGGTCGTCTTGTTGGAGCAAAAGGTGGAGCCCTGGGATGTGAAGAGAAGTGCAAATCCCGTCCTCCTCCCAGGTAGGTGGAATGAATCTGGCAGAGGCCGCAGCTGGCAGGTGCAATGGTACAGGAAAGCATCCTAAATATGTCTAGGAAGCTCTGTTTCAGGGGTTGCAGACATGCTCCTATTTTGTCCTGGAGTCTTAGTCTTACTTTCCCTGGGGGCGTCTCCTCTCGGACACCGAGTCCTCTGCCTTTCCTTCTTACTGAATTGAACTTAGGTTTTGTCCATTTTGTTGATCTTTCAAAATCCAGACTTCCTTTCATAGAGAAGCACCTGCTTTTTGGCCATGATGTTACATCTATGTATTTTTTATTTCATTTTAAATGTCCTCCTTTCTGCCAATATGGAGCTTAAATTATTCTTTTTCTAATTCCTGGAGGTGTGAAGTTATGTTGCTCAGGTGAGATCCCTCTTATTGATAGTGTAATTGTTTAATGCTTTAAATTTACTTCTTAGTATTATTTTCTGAATCCCACATGTTTTGGAAGTTTGCTTCCTTTCAGTGTCTCAGTATTTCTTAGTTATTTAGAATCTAGGAAACACGAGTTTACCTTGCTCTATATGATTCGAGAATAGATTCTCATCATCTCAAATGTTTGTCACCACCACACCCACCACCAGTGCACTTATGGGCCTCACCGTAGATCTTTGAATCCACTCCCACTTTCGTACCCACAACCAGTGTCCCTACCTCTTCAGTACCCTCACTTCTGCAGTCTTAATTCTCGAGTTCATTTTGGTTTGTATTGTCAGTTTCTTTGCTTTGTTTCTCCATATTCCAAACAGGAGTGAATTCATCCAGTAAGTCTTTCCCCTTCTGATTCATTTCACTGAGCATCATCCTCCCCCAATATTCCATCCTTGTCGTTGCAAATGGCCAGATGTATCCTTTTTCAGTAGTATTCCACCCTGTGTATATACCACACCTTTCTTTAGAATTATTTTTCACCCCTGTTTGTCAACTCCGGTTCCTGAATTTATACCATTATTTTCCTTCCAGTTGCAATTGGGGCTTGAACCCCTCCTTGATCTTATGTTTTCCTCTTCTGCATTCAGTTCTGTCTTTGTGTGCTGCACACATTCAGGTCCTCATGTTAGTGCATGTGTTATATTACAGTGCTTCCCAATACATGTAGTTTTCTGTTATGTTCTTGGGGCATTCTTTTCATCCTGTGAGGCTTTAAACTCAGATCATATAATTCTGATATTAGTGTGATCAACGTGACTCCATGGATCAGTTTTCATAGAATCTAGTTCCAACCTTACGTTCTACATGGTGTGCTGATGTCTGTGTTGAGTTTCGTATAGGTAAGATTGAATTGGTCTTATTTTTAATTCCTTCAGACACATTTGTCATTTTCATGTGGACTTTTAATTAATTTACACACAAAGGATTTCTGAAAGGAAGGCATTGACTTTATTAAAAAATGATTCCTGTATTCTCAGCCATTTTATACCTCATTTCCTCCCTAGTACAGCTCTGTATTATTCCTCTCTTCCTTTCTTGTGGGTGATTTCCCTCCAGTTGCTCTCATTTTATATGCTAATTGAGGTATACTGGTTTGTAATCTTATTTACAAACATTGTAAAGCATTGTCACCCAACCTGTTACATATGACATCATTCTCTGTTTTCATTTCCTTTTCCATGTATTTTACTGGTTTCTTTTTTGTCACATGGGGATTATATACCATGTTGAAAAGTTATTTAGCCTTATCTAAACTGAAAACAATTACATTCAACTGCATACCAAAACCCAACTGTTTAACATTTCTAAGTTCTCAAGCAGAAACAGTATTTTTGCTATAGGATTATATCATACCTTTTTCTCTGTTTGCTATGTATTTACCTTTCCCTGAGGACATCACCTTTTATAAGCATGTGTGTTGCTGTCTAGTGCTCATGTTACCTGTCTAACATCAGGCCGGGGGTCTTTATTTGGTATTAATTTTGTGTATAAAATAGTTAAAATATTTTATTTTGTCTTGAGTGCTGTGAGTGCGGTAAATATTCCTTGCTGTCTCCCAGCCATGTCTTCTCAAGACGACCAGGACTGCATACCACAGTCAGGCACAGAAGATTTATTCCTAAATGTGGGACCGGGAGGAGATGGAATCGACACCTCTGAGAATTTAGAATTATTGAAAGATCAGACATGTCAAGAGGCATGTGAAGGGCACAACAGTTGTTGCGATGAAGATGGCCGAGCAGCGACAATTATCCATAGTAAAATTTCTCCTGCAAAAACTGATCCAGTGTGTAAACCATGTTGGGTAAAACTCCATTTTATGTGTGTTGCATGTATAGATAAATATGTTTCTGTTAGCAAAGATCCATGTGGCATTTTTAACCACACATTCTCACAGAGGAATATTGGAACATATGGGAAGTCCCCTAGTCCATAATGGAAATGATTATTCAAAACATTGTCACCATGGGGTAGGTTTAAACTTTGTGTCAAATCATTCTCAACATCAGAGAATTAGAAAGGAAGATGAAAAATCTACAGAGGATCCTATTGAGGAGTCCTCAAAACTTCTCCAATATCAGACAATTGGTGAGAAACCTTACAATTGTAAAGATTATGGCAAAGATAACACTTGCTGCTCCAGCCTTAATGAACATCAGAGAAAGAAACGGCGTAAATGTGGAGAGCATGGTAAAGGCTTTTATTGGCATTCACAGTTGACTCGATCTCTAAGAAGTCATACTAGAGAAAAGCCTTACATGTGTCCAGACTGTGGTAAAGCCTTTCTATATTTGTGTCGCCTTTCCCAACACCAGAGAGTTCATAATGGTGAGAAACCTTACAAATGTGAAGAATGTAAGAAAGCCTTTAAGGTGAAGTCAAGTCTTAGTCAGCATCAGAGAATTCATACTGGCCTGAAACCTTACAAATGTGAAGAATGTGGCAAAGCCTTTAACTGGGTGTCAAATCTTTCTAAACATTATAAACTTCATACTGGGGAAAAGCCTTACAAATGTAATGAATGTGGAAAAGCCTTTATTAATAATTCAAAACTTATTCAACATCATAGAATTCATACTGGGCAGAAACCTTACAAATGTAAAGTATGTGGCAAAGTCTTTAACCAGAAGTCACATCTTAATCGACATCACAGAATTCATACTGTGGAGAAACCTTAGAACTGTTAAGAATGTGGCAGTCTTTAAAAAAACAGTCATATCTTAGTCAACATCATAGAATTCACACTGGGAAGAAACTACAAATGTGAAGACTGTGGCAAAGCCTTTAACTGGAAGTCAAGTCTTATTCTACATCACAGAATTCACATTAGAGAAATGTTAAAATTCAAAGGTCATTTTTTTACTGTAGTCTCTTTAACCAGAAGTCCAGAAGTTTCACCAGAAGTGGCAGTGATTATCCAGAAGTCAAATCATCCTAAACATCGGAGTGCCTAGTGAGAGAACCCGTAAATGAAAATGACCAATGGATTGTCCAAATATATATTATGAAACCACCAGATTTTCATACTGGAAACTTTAAAGAAGCAAAAATAGGAGAAAGTAATTTATAATGAAAATTAGATGCATATTGAGACATTGCAGTGCAGTAGTAAGTTAATTCCACTTGGCCAGACATAACCTAAAATGAGAATATGGTCATGGAGCATAAACCAAGATTAAAACACTAAATATTAGCATAATTTAAAAGTTCAGGAGGCCTCCCTGGTGGCGCAAGGGGTTAAGTTGCAGCTTTGTGAAGCTGTTGGCAGCCACTGCAGCACAAGTTTGATCCCTGTCCAGGGAGCTGACCGACATGGAGCAGCAGACCTCTCCTGTCTTGCCTGATGCTCCCCTCAGCAGTGTATTTCAGTGGATCTGCCTGTTCTGTTCCCCACTCTGTCTCTGGTGAATCCTCTCACCCCCCTCACCTCTGGCCTATACCCCAGTTCTTGTATGCATAAAAATACATCTTTAAAAAACATAAATAAAACTTGAAGACAATGGTTTGGGTCATGTATAGTTATTTTCTATCAGCCATACTTGAGCTATGAATAGACATGATGAATGTAATTCACGCCTAAATTACTTCATTCTATGACTTTCTCATGTACGTCACATCATGTGTTTGATTGTTGCTGCCTCAAACATCTAAGGGATCCTTCTCTAATGGATGGATTTGCTCACATCTGACTTGCTCCTGCAAATTTAAGGTGGTGTCATATATCATGTATGAAGAAAATGTGAATGGATATGCTGTTTGGTTGACTCAAAAGATTGATCTAAATCACCCAATTGGCATAGAAATTAGACCGAGAAACATGCTGAAGTTCAAATCATTTCATCCTTTTGTCCTTAGGGAATACATTGACAGTTTATTAAAGTCCTGATGTCTCTTCAGAGTAGGACAGCGGTGGCGCAACTGTAGAGAATGATAAGGGAGGGGCATGAGGAGACGCAGACACTGGGTCAGGGTGCGGGCCTCGTGCTGCTGAGGGTCTCTGCAGCCCTTCATTTATGCATTTCAGGCAACCCGGGAGAGCGCGTGAGCACAGGCATGAGGGAAGGGAACAGTCACATCTTTCCCAGAGCAGCAAGGGTTGATTGACCTTTCGCAGAGGCTGTGACTGAAAGGTTCCGTGTGGTAAAGACAAGGAGAGCTAGGCTACGTTTCTCAAAGGGAGGGAAAGTTTATTGCGCCCCGCGCAGACCTCACGCACCCAAGGTGGGTGTCAGTGAAGCCGCGCAGGTTGTTAGGGGGAAGCAGGGTTTTAAAGGGTGAGCAGGGGTCAGGTGGGAAGTTGGGCTCCTCTGGCAGGAAAAAGTTTGTTGGGCAGGGGGAGTCTTGTGGGGCAGGTAGAGGTTCTTTGTCTGAGAAGAGACTCTCCGGGGAGGGGGGAGTCTCACTGTCTGAGTCCTCCAGGCAGGTATCCGCATTCCTGCCCCCCAGGTGGGCTTCCTGGTAGGCTTCTGCATTCCTGCCTCCTGCATGGACCTTTCATACCAGCCTTTTGTTGATAGGAAAAGGGGTGAAGTTTCTCTCTTTGGCTACTTCTGGCTGAAAGGGGCAAAAATCAAGGGGGTGGCTCAGGCCTGGTGATGAGGGTCTTCTGCAGGGACGCGAGAATATGGGTGGAGAAGGAGTTGGTTAAAGGTGGTAGGAGACATTTCCCGAATGCGAGCCTGTATGAATTTTAGGAGGCGAGGAGAGAAAAGAAAAAATAAGGTGATCATTAGTATTGGCCCCAAGAGTGGGAGGAGCCATGACACTAGGATTTTGAAACCTTGTCAGTGGAGAGTTGGAGTCCCCGGTTTTACTAGTAATAACATTCTTCCCTGAGGAACAGGCAGGTACCCCCTTTATTAGCTGTTAACAAGTCCAGAGCCCGCCGGGTTTGGAGAGTGACCTGTGCCAGGGCGGTGAGCTGTCTTTGTAATGATGCTGAAGACACATAGGTTTTTTCTAAGGAGGTATCTATTCTTTCATGAAATTCCTGGGCAGAAATCAGGCTGTGTCCCAGGGCCCCACCTGCCATTCTTGCGGCTGCTATCGATGATGCCAGGCTGATTCCAACCATGATTGGGAGAAAGGCCGCCCGCTTAGTCCGATGTGGTGAGAATAACCAACCTAGCTCAGACCGTCCGTACAGAGCTAACTGTGGGACCGCGAGGACTTGGATACGTGGGCCTGGAGTAGCAGAATTAATACACCGAGAGAGAGAGCCACTGCACCAGAAAAAGTTTCCCTTTGCTGTTGTTCGGAGCACAGAAGTAACCGAAATGTTAGAAGCACGGGCATGAAAGCTGACAAGGGCATCCGTTTGCTGGCAGGGGTAGCTGTGATTGGAGTCCCATAGGGGGACTGAGAGTTGGGGAGTCTGGCAAGCAGCGTCCGTTATCTTGGTCGTAGTGGTACTGAGATTCATTGGACCTGCTGCCAGTAGAGGCCTCTGAAGGGAAGCACAGAGGAAACAAGAGGAGGTGTTAGTCCCACAAGAGTCATTCAGGAAGGTTATAGCGTTTTGGATTATATGAATCCAGGTTGAGGTTGTCTCGGTCTTTTCTGATGCTGTTAGCTGATTTTACAGGATTTGTTCTGAATGGAGGATGTCCTGGGAGACTTGGACTGTGGCATTTTGTGTCGGGACATATTCCCTTGAGATGGACAGTGTTGCCACTGGATAGGAATGCCAGCCAGTGCACACTGCGGCTTGGACTCCCTGTACCCAACGTTGGTCCCAAGGATCTGAAATAGCAGAGCTAACTTGATTCATATTGAAGCCCCTATTATGATGGACCAGAGAGAACATTTGGCCTTTGTCTGGAAGGTGCACTGTGCATGACTGGTAAGGGCACCCCCCATATTCTCTATAGGTATTTTTGCAGTGATCTAAGGTTTGATGGTAAAGAAACAAAACAAGGCGTTCATAGGGTTAGTAATCGATGAAAGAGTTAGGGTGAGAGTGATGGGTGCTGTGCATCCGGCCTGTGGGCACTCCGCAGTACCCACATAGTGGGTGATCTCAGTGGATCCTGAGACAAAGGTCTCCCTAACTTTGAATTTCCATACACAGGACACTGAGCTAGGGGAGATTTTGACAAGAAATGCACATCCTAGTAGGACCCAGGTTACGACATACATACTGTTTTTCTTCGGGGGCACGTTTGACCCCTGATAGATGGTGCCAGGAGGGGTGTCCCAGAAGTGTTACCGCTGTAGGCGTGGTGAGAATAACCGTGCATGGGCCGGTCCACCGAGGCTGCAGTGGCTTTGGCTGAAGCGATTTGAGCAGGACTTGGTCTCCCGGATGCAGTGGTGGGGAAGGTTGGTTGAGGAGGTCGAGATCCGAGGCAGGACTGGGGAAGTACCGGTCTGCGTGTTCCTGGAGCAGTTGGCTGAGTAGGGAGAGGCCAATCCTGTCCGGGTAGGTGTCCACGCAGTTGGTGAGCTGATTGATGGTAACGTGGCCTAGGCGGCCCTCCGCTGACCGCGCGCGCGCATCTTCACAAGAGCTGCCGTCTACAAACACAGGAGGCATCTGACAAAGGAGTCAGTCTGGAGGTTTGCATTTCGTCCAGGATTTTAGGACACGAATGAGTGGCAGAAGGGGGCCAGAGACAGGCAGGAGAGTGGCTGGGTTGAGAGAATTAGACTGAGTGGGACTCACTAGAGGGTTTTTAATAAAGAGCACATGGAAGTCCTGTGAGCGGGCAGGAGTGAGAGTGGAGAGCGAGCGGGGAGACGGGAGGGCCTGAAGGCGGTGTGGGGAATGCACTTGGGTGGGTCTTCCCAGAGTAAGTTTGAGGGATTCCTGGGTGAGTAGAGCTGCCGCCGCCAGGGCTCTAAGGCAGGGTTGCCAGCTCCTAATGGTGGGATCCATCTGCTTGGAGAGATAAGTGACAGGACGCAGGGCTGGCCCGAGAGGCTGGGAAAGGGCACCTGCCGCCTTACCCCGATGTTCGGCTGTGAACAGGAGCAAAGGCTTTTCTGGATCAGGAAGGGTAAGGACAGGTGCCTGAAGAAGGATATGTGTGACCCTGCAGACTTTCCGGGGGATTGGAAAGGTTTTTTTTTTTAAAAAAAGATTTATTTATTTATTTATACAAGCACTGGGTACAGTCAGAAGTGTGGGAGGGTGAGAGAATTCACCAGAGCCAGAGCGGGGAGCAGAGCAGGCAGAAGGACCGAAGTACACTGCTGAGGGGAGCAGCGGGCGACAGGAGAGGTCTGCGCACCATGCGGGACCCTCCTCCGGTGGCCGGGGAGCAGCCGAGGATTGAACCGGCGCCGCAGAGGCTGCGGGCAGCTTCGCAGCCCAGCGCTCAACCACTGTGCCACTTGGGAGGCCCTGGAAAGGTTTTTTAGGAGGCTTTTGCTTCGTCGTGCAGTGGCCTGGCTGGGAAAGCAAAATTAGAGATCCCATGACAGAAGAATCCAGCCAAACCTAGACAAGAAAGGATTTGTTTTGCCAATTCAGGGGAGGGAAGGTCCCGAATGGCCTGTTTGTGGTCCACCGTCAGCTGTTTGGAGGAAGGAGTTAGTGGAAGACCCAGATAGACGCCTGTGGGAACTGAAAGTTGGGCTTTGAATGGGGAGACACGGTCTCCTTTTGAGCACAGGAAGGTGAGGAGTTGTGCAGTGTGTTGCTGAGAAGGTGGCAGAGAAGGACAGCAGAGGAGGAGGCCAGCGACATCTGGAGGAGAGTGCGGGGTGGAGGATGACATGACGAGAGGTCACTAGCTCATGCCTGACCAGGCAGATGAGGGCTGTCCCGGAACCCCTGAGGCAGGACAGTCCAGGCCAGTTGCCGGGAGGTGTGTGTCCGGATTTTACCAAGTAAAAGCAAATAGTAAGTAACATGGAGGATTTAGAGGGATGGTGAAAAAATACCTTTGAGGTGAAGTACAGAGAAGTGTGTGGTAGAAGACGGTAGATGAGACAGAAGGGTGTAGGGGTTCGCACTACGGGATGGATAGGCACCACCACTTCGTTAATGAGGCGAAGGTCTTGAACTAGGGGATAAGAACCATCAGGCTTTTCAATGGAGAGAATGGGAGTATTACAGGGCGAGTTGACAGGAGTAAGGAGTCTCTTTCCCAGGAGTCGTTGGCTGATGGGTTTGAGACCCTGACGGTGAGTGAGGGAAATTGGAAACTGGGGGTGAGAGGGAAAAGAAGAGGGATCCTTAAGGCGAATGAGGACTGGGGTACGATGGGTGGCAACAATCATGATAGAGATATTCCAGAACATGGGGTTGACAGTGGAAGGAGAGAGCGGGGAGTCCTGAGAAGGATTAGGAGATGTTTGGAGCCGTGGGAGGATGAGAGCAGCGCTAGGGTGGTGGAACCATGAGAGAGTAGCCCTGAGTTTGGTCAGAAGATTGTGACCCAGGAGTGGTGTGGGGCAAGAAGGCATGACTAGAGGGCCTCCCTGGTGGCGCAGCGGTTGAGCGCTGGGTTGCGAAGCTGCCCGCGGCCTCTGCAGCGCCGGTTCGATCCCCGGCTGCTCCCCGGCCACCAGAGGAGGGTCCCACATGGCGCGCAGACCTCTCCTGCCGCCCGCTGCTCCCCTCAGCAGTGTACTTCGGTCCTTCTGCCTGCTCAGCTCTCCGCTCTGGCTCTGGTGAATTTTCTCACCCTCCCGCGCTTCTGACTGTACCCAGTGCTTGTATAAACAAAACAAACAAATAAATAATACATGCCTCTTAAAAAAAAAAAAAAAAGAAGGCATGACTAGGAAAGAGCGGACCAGTGGCCCTGAGCTGAGAAGGAAGGCCGTCCACACCCATAACCCAGGCCTGAGAAGGATAAACTTGACCGGAATAAGAGGGGAGGACAGAGAAGGTAGCCCCCGTGTGAACCAGAAAGGAGATGGTCTTACCTGCTACCTTGACCGTTACCCTGGGCTCCTCAAAGGTTATTGGAGTTGATGAGTCCGGGCCTCTTCAGTCCTCAGCTGCCGAACCCAAGACCGCCGGTGGCAAGAGTTGCAGGCACTGGAAGGACTGGCCCACCACAGCCAGGCGTGGGGGGACAGTCACTTTTCCAGTGACCCTGGACGTTGCAGATGAGGCCCGGTCCTGGCAGAGGGTGGGGGGTGGGGCATTGTCTGGACCAGTGGCCTTCTCGGCCACATTTGTAGCAGGCTTCGGTGGCGGTCGGTGGGGGCGCATGGGGCCCATTGTCATCCTCTGTCGGGCAGCAGGCGCTGTGATCGTTGGAGGAGCAGGGCCTGGCGGTCTCAAGGCAGCTACTGGGGCCTGAGCTTGAAGCTCAGCCTTCTGGCGACTACGGAGTTCCCTCTCTGCCCTGTCCCGTTCCCCCAGTTGTTAAATACCATAAAGGCCATGTTCAGCAGGTCCTGGATAGGGGTTTGAGGACCATCCTCAGCCTTTGGAAGTCAGGAGGGTTTTTTGAGGCAGACGGGGTAATCTTTCTGAGCTTATGAAAGTTTATAGGTTTAGGCGCTGCCGGTTGGAGACCGGCTAGGGGACAGGTCAGAGGTCAGTGTGGAAGAGAAGAGAACATGTAATTATGACATGTATGGTCATAGGCTTGGGTAAGATAATGAAATTTTTAGGTGTAGGTAGTGGGATCGTTTGTGAAAGAGCCAAGACGCTTTTCAAGTTGGGAGAGATCAGACAGAGAAAGGAACATGGACTCTAAGTCTTCCTCCAGTTCCCACCCACTTCCCTGTGGGGAGGGAGAAGAGGATCAGCAGGGAGAGGGTGTGGCGGCTGGGAGGTGAAAAGAAAGGGGGAGGGGCTGGATTGGGGAGCTGGAGGAGGTGAAGACTGAGAATCTAGGGATCAGAGAATGCAGAAGAGGGGTCTGGAGAGGGCGAAGAGAGAGAGGAGTCTGGAGACTTAGAAAGTGCAGCAGGTTTGCAGGAGGGAGGGAAGGGGCGGGCACAAGAGAAAGCCAGCCTGGCCCTACGGATCTCTGACCATGTTCCATTGCGGGGACAGAATTGTTGAGGTCTGTGAGAACCGAGATGTCAAAAGTGCCATGTTTGGGCCAGTGGGAACCGTTGTCCAATTGATACTGAGACGCTTAGGGCGTTATGTGGCCTAAGTCCCAACGGACCGAGGTTTGAGAGAAGGCATCCCCGTGGAGTGGCCGGAATTTGGCTTGGAATTTGCAGACCCCATGACTAAGTGAGGAAGGGAGAGCACTTAGTCAAAATGTTATAGGGCAGGGAGAGGGGCAGCCCAAACCCCGCACACCTGCCTATTCTAAATGGGTTCTGCCATCCGCCTCATCAGCACAAAACATATGAGACTTTAATGGGATGGAACTTTAATACAATTAGGAAACAATACAGGAAAGGCAAAGAATCTAGTTTCTAAATCAAGCACCCAAAGTGACCCGTCCCCTCGTGGGTAAAATTCCATCCAGAGGGAATTGGCCCAGAGCAAGGCCCCAAAGCCTGCCACGGTCTAAAGCACCTTCCTGTGGGGACCCACAGAAAAGGAGCAGAAACAACCAGACAAGTCTGGAGGGAAAAGAG